GTGGCTCATCTCCCAGTTGTTCCCCTGCCCCTGCCAAGCGTCTGTCCGGAGCCCAGCTGGGAATTCAGAAAATACTGGACATTGCACTTGTCCGGTATTTTCTGAATTTTTCTACCGGACAGACGGTGCAAATACCGGACTGTCCGGTAGAAAACCAGACACCTGGCAACCCGTGGGAATATGAGGAGCTCAGGGCAGGGGGGTTGGGTCTCCCAGTTGTTCCCCTGCCCCTGCCAAGCGTCTGTCCGGAGCCCAGCTGGGAATTCAGAAAATACTGGACATTGCACTTGTCCGGTATTTTCTGAATTTTTCTACCGGACAGACGGTGCAAATACCGGACTGTCCGGTAGAAAACCAGACACCTGGCAACCCGTGGGAATATGAGGAGCTCAGGGCAGGGGGGTTGGGAGTATCATGGGCTCAAGTGTGTGTGGATGGTGTAGGAGTGTTGTGGCAGAAGACTGAGGATATGGGGGAGCAGGAGTTTGGGGAAGTGGTGCAGGTATACGATAGGCTCAGGGCTGGGGTCTGTGGGGGGTGCAGGAGTGTTATGCTGCTGCGGCCAGATGGGGGCTTGTTGGCCAGGCTTTGTTTTTAAATAAAATTTTAAGTCCAACACACAACATTTCAGCATTGTCTTTATTTATGGGAGGGGTGGGGAACCTGTTTTGGATCAGGGGCCACTGACTCACAGAAAAATCAGTCAGGGACCACACAAGTGCTGGGGTCTGTGGGGGGTGCAGGAGTGTTATGCTGCTGCGGCCAGATGGGGGCTTGTTGGCCAGGCTTTGTTTTTAAATAAAATTTTAAGTCCAACACACAACATTTCAGCATTGTCTTTATTTATGGGAGGGGTGGGGAACCTGTTTTGGATCAGGGGCCACTGACTCACAGAAAAATCAGTCAGGGACCACACAAGTGAGATGTTAGGGAAAAAACCCTCCAAAACCCCCTAAGCCTCACTGATGTGGCCCTAACTGAGACACCTCCCTCCCCTGGCACTTCAGCCTCGTGGGGCAGAGAGGGTAGGTAGGTCTGAGGTTCATACACAAAACATTTCATTATTGTCTTTATTTATGGGAGGGGCGGGGAACTAGCTTCTCAGGAACCATGACAGTGTTCTGCTTCTCTGGCTGAACTATTTAATCATTTAATATGAAAGATCAGAGTCAAATAGTGATTTTCTATGCAGTTACAGACTTGCTGCATCCTGATGTGTTTACAGATCTGTTGTATATATTGAGCAACTAGACTTTTGTTTGGTTTTATTACATAAGTGTATCTTAAAGTTTTTTCTAATTTTTGTGTATATACCTGAGGGACTTTCATTTACTCAATACAACTGCTTACCCAGGCAATGCCTGTAGAAATGGCAGATAAATTCTGTATGTGAGAGTGCCACATACACTTTGTACTTTCAGCTTTTCATTCTCAGTCTAATTTTAGCCTGGGGATAAAGCTTGAAGTTGAAGTTGTCAGCACAGCTTTTTCTATTAGCGCTTTCCCAAAATATTCCCTTGGCTGCACATGTTTGCTGATTATCTCCTTTTCTCTTCTCCCTTTTCTCCTTACAGCTTCTGACATGAAGAAAGATATAGAGACCTTAATAGCAGAGGAGAGAGCAGAGATCATCGCCAAGTATGAAAAGGTACTGACCTCATTTTTCTCCAGGAATCTGCTCACCAGACATGGGACTCCTGAGTC